CAGAAGGGCTCCTGGCCTGGGGTGGAGGAGCCCACAGCCCCCGCCTTGTCCCAGCCGGAGCTGCCAGGGGCACCTGGGACACTTGAGAATGGTCTTTCCTAGCGCCCGGCCTCCCTGTGGCAGAGTGAGGAACGTTCATGGGTGTCTTATGACTGCCCCTTCTCCGTGGTGTTAACTACTCCTTCTAGAACTTTCCGCCCTGCCTTTGTGGATACACAGCCCTGCTGGCTTTCCTCTGACCTCACTGACCGCTCCTTCCCAGCGTCTCTGCGGGACCCTCTTCCTCTACTGACCCCTCAGATGCTGATTCCCCTTGCAGGGCTCCCTCCTCCCCTTTCTCTCCTTCCACCTCCCAGGTCCCTGGGCAACCTTTCTCATCCCTGCGACTCCAACTGCCGCCTTCCAGAGCGACGAAACCCGAGTCCTCCAAGTGAGAGGCTCCTCAGAGCTCTGGACCCACATGGGGTCCTGGCTGCCCCCAAGACTGGCATCACCTTCATGGGAGGGGTCCCCCTGGAGTCCCTGCCCTGGTGGACAGCTTGGCCCCTCACCCCACATAGTAGGCTGAATGGTGGCCCCCCAAAGATGTGTCCCCTTGTAACTTGCAAATGTGACCTTATTTGGGAAAAGATTCTTTGCAGATGTACTAAATTAATAATCTGGGAACGAGGCCATCCTGGAATAGGTGGGCCTTAGATCCAACTTCGGCCGTCCTTAGCAGACAAGAGAAGGGGAGGAGACACACAGGCGAGAAGGCCAGTGCAGACAGAGGAGGGCCTGGAGTGATGTGGCCAGGAAGGGCCAAGGAAGGCCCGAAGCCACCAGGAGCTGGAAAAGGCAGGGAAGTGTATTCCCTGGGGCTTTTGGAGGGAGCGTGGCCCCACTGCCGCTGTGGCTTCAGACTTCTGGCCCCCAGAACCCTAAGAGAGTCTCTGTGTGTTGTTTTAAGCTACCTGTCTGTGCTGTCACAGCAGCCTGAGCAGCTCAGACTTCCCATCACAGGACGCTGGGCTCTTCCTACCCAGCAAGGGCAGTGCCGGGCACAGCTCTGCACGCTTGTCAAACCCCAAGTCACTCAGGCCCCACGAGAGCCGTGTTGTGATCATCACAGGTGGGCACAGTAAGGCCAGGTAGTCCTGAAACCTCCCTGGCCAGCCACAGGTTTTGGGAGGTTTGGCCTCCCAAACCTCCTTCGCCATCCACAGGTCTGGACTTGGGACCCGGGGGCCCATGGACAGAGCCTAGGAGCTCTGTGACTTGGACAAGTGAGAGAGAGCAAATGTTCATTTTCTCTAATGGTCATCTAGAATTTACTCTTTGCTTCCATTAACCATAGGGGCCGATCCTCAGCCATACACACAGCAGCTGTGCCTTTGTTACCAGCAGAACCCCAGGGAGTCCATGTCCCGCCGCGTCTGCGCGCACCTTGCTTGGAGATCACTGTGGTCATCTGGCCGCCCCGGCCATTGTTACTGAACCCACGACTACAGAAGCAACTAGGTTAATTCTTTTTTTGTTTGTTTTTCCTGTCCCCCCCATAGGTTAATTCTGATGTCACAATTTGTTTGATATTTTGATAACTGTGTCTCCACTCCCTTGGTTTCTCTGTAACCCTGTGTGCTCTGACACGTTTCAGATCGTCATTCCAAGGAGGAGTCTCGGGCGCCCTGTGGCTGGGCAGCTCCTCCGCTGGCTGCATTCGAGGGCCTCTCCATCCCCTCCTAAGCTCCTGCCAACGCGCTGCCCCTCCATCTCCAGGTCCTTGTCATCTCTGGCCTCCATTATTGCTCAAAATAGCCTCTCATGGGGCCCCTGCAGCCACCATCACATCCATCCGCCCAGGGACACCGGGGGTCTCCCTACAGCCCCACTCTGACCCCCTCGTCTGCGGCTGCCCCTGCCTCCAGCAGGGCCCTCCGTCACCCGGCGCCTGGGCCCTCCTGGCACCCCCTCCATCCTCGAGTGCTCACTGCCCATGCCGGGACTCTGCACGCAGGACCTTCCCCCTCCTGCCCACGCTGGCCTGGACCGTGTGGTTTGGTCCTCTCCCCGGAGTCGAGTCTGACTCTGTATTCTGATGTGCGAGGCTTTTAAGCCGCCCCTGTCCCTCTTCCCCTGCTGCCCCACATCTGGGCAAGCTGGCGAGAAAGGTTGGTGGCCCTTCCTTTGGCACTGGTAGGAGGTGGGGACTCGCAGCACGATACAGCCCCGGCCAGTCTCCCTTCCTGCTGTCTCAAGCCATTTCCAGCCCAGGGGGCACGCCCTGCCCCCGCCAGAGAGCCTCATCCTGAGTGACAGGGCTCCCCGCGCCCTCCTGGGGAGGCACATGGAGTCATCGCTCTCGACATTCAGAGCAGACTGGGGTGCAGGCCCCTCCTGCTTCTGCCCAGTGGCCACCACGCGCCCCAGCTGGGAGCCCGATGCAGGGGCTGAGTCTCACTCTCCCGAGACGCCCGGCCCCGCCACAGCCTGGTCCCCTGCCCCTTGCAGCATCTGCCTGCTCTGCCCCATCCTGGAAACACATTTCCCTTCTCAGTGGGCAGATGACGCTGAGCACTCACCGACCTGACGAGTGTCCTCCCCACAAGCCTCAGGGCCTCAGCCACCCAGACCAGGGCTCAGAGAGGTTAGGCAGCTTCCTGAAGGCCAGAGTGTGTGAAGGGCAGAACCAGGGTCCAGCTCCACCTGTGACACCCCACTCCCGTCTGCCTCAGGGCCCTCCCTGGGGAAGCCCTCCCTGCCCCATCTCGCCCCCATCCACTGAGGTTCATTGGTCATTTGCATGAGTCCTGTCTACTGTCTGTCCCTCCTAACTGCAAGTTCTGTGGCGTCAGGCACAGGACCTGCCCTGCTCTTGCCACCTCACCGTGCGCAGCAAGCGCTCTGTAGTCACGTGTCAGACGGAGGAGTGACAGTACTGAGGGGGTGCTTGAGAAACCCGGAGCAGGCGGAGGGGGCCTGGCAGGCGTGGGGCTGAGTGGGGAGCCCATGCAGGGACCGGGCAGATCAGCCCTCCTACTGTGTGCAGCTGGAAGCATCGTGGTCACATGGTGTCCTCTGCTCCTCGTCCTCAAACAGGTCCACGTTGGGGTCCCCCCCGGGTGTGTGGCTCTATACTTCCTGTCTGCAATCCATGCCACGCCTAGCTCCTGCCCCGCCAGCACACGCAAACTTGAGCCCAGACTGTTGGAGAGATGCAGGGCAGCAGTGAGGCACAGTGAGACAGTCCCTGGCGTCCCCTGGCCACAGCATGGCGCAGTGTAGTAGCTGATGCTGCAGGGTGAGGCGTGGCACTGCTGAACCCACTGGCTCCCAGCACATCCTCACGCGGCCCCCATGCACGCGTCCTGGGGGCCCCATCCCCAGAGCCAAGATGAGGCTCCAGGGTTCTGCCTGGGGCCTCTGGGAGGGGCTTGGCTGGCGGTCACCAGCAGGAAGTGGTAACCTCATCCCACGGCAACTGTTTACCGCAGGGAGCAGCGATCCTGCGGACGCCTCTCCGGGCTTGCTGGCTGCGGCAGAGAGGCACACTGCGGAACCCACAGACTGCGCTCGAATCCCAGCCCAGCCGGCGCTCGCGATGTGGCTCTCAGCGAGTTACTCCGAGTTTTGAGACTTACTCTCCCAGCCTGTGAAGTGGGCAGGACTGACCTGAAGGGGCGTCTAGTGCATGGGAGGAGGGAAAGGCTGCAGGTTTGGTGGGAAAAATCAAATGCATCACTGAATGCAGGGAAGGCATGCAGGTCACCAGACACCACAGGGGCTGGGCGGGCCACCTCTTGCGTGCACGTGAATCTGCAGTTCCTCAACGAGAGAGGCCGTGCCAGACTAAGCCCGGCCACAGGCTCACCGTGGCTGCCAGCTGTTCGCCGCTCTCCTACCAAGATGTGCCTTCTGTTTCCCTCCCTGGAATCTGGTGGCTTCGTGGCTTGTTTGAGTAATAACATGCAGCCTGGTGATGTCACGTGAGTTCCAGCCTAGGTGGCAAGAGGCCTTGTGTGTTCCTGTCTCTTACACTCCTGCCATCGTCAGGAGTACAAACCTGGCCAGCACACTGGTCCCAGCAGGAGGAGGGAACACAAGGAGCACAGCCACCAGACAAGCCAGCCTAGCACAACTGACCCCAGCCAAACCCTGACTCCTAAGGAAGCATAAGCCACTGAGTTTGGGGACAGTTTGTTAGGCAGCAACAGCTAACCGGCAAGAGCGCAAATAAGAGTAAGAGAGGACAGGCTGACCCAGCAGAAGCTCCGTCACCAGGAGCACAAGTCCCGCTCCTTGGTGCCGTGGCACTGGGGCCTGGCCTCACAGAAGTGACATTATCACGAGGAAAGTCACAGCAGGGGATGGAAACCAACCAGCCCCCTGAGAACCACAGCCAGGGACAGGCCAAGAGTAGCATAAATGCCATCTCAAGCATTTAAGGATCCACACGGCCACCCCCTCCCATCCTTTCTGATGCCACAGAGCAGGTGAGCCAAGGGGTGTTTGCTGGGAGGATTAATTAGGTCCTTTCCAACACCTGGCCCTTAGTAGACGCCCAACTCAATGGGTCCCTTCTTATCACATCCAAAGTGGCCATCTCCCACCACAAACTTTTCCAGTAAAACCTTCTCCTTCTCATTCTTAGGAAGGCTTCTTGCCTCTAAATGGCATCTGAGGTTGGGGAAGGCGGGTGATGGCCTCCTCATGCGAGTGCTTGCACAGGTGGGTCTGCTGGTTACTTGCTGCCTTGTGTTTCAAGAACTCGCTCAGCTGCAAGTCTCCATTACAAGCTCTCACCTGCCAGGTCCTTTCTCCTGCTTCCTTTTTGCTCATAGACTTCCAGAAATTTTGCCTAAATTATTTTTCTGTCTTGGGATAACACCCCTAGTTTCTGGCCATTTGCCTGGACTCTGGACTTCTTGCATTGCAGGCTCTCCTTATCCAGGCCTGGTGCCTGGCCTCCTGCCCATTCTGACCCTGAGTGACACCACACAGGCCAACCTCAGATGGCTTACCTGGACCTGCCTCCGAGCCTCTGTGCTCTGATGCCTGGTACCTTCCCGAGTTGTCTGACCTGGTTTCAGCCTCCTCACTCTGCCGTCTCCTGAACTCTGGTGGGAGGTTCACTCTGCTCCTGAGCTTGCTCTCACAGAAGTATGCACATTGCTTGGGGTGCTGTCCACAGGTGGAGATGCAGCTGATGCAGTCCCTCAGGAGATGGTCATAGTACTTGCCTTGCTCCTTGCGGCAGCTAAGTGACTCTGAGACAGAAACAAGTGATGCTATTGGATGACAGAGACCTGCAGGAGCTCTGGGTCTGGCCTCAAAGGACATCAAAGAAAAAAAAAATCATAGTCCGATTCCCAAAAAGCAATCCCAGAGCAAGCCAAGACCTTTCACAAGGTACAAATTGAAGGCTATGCATTGTCCTCTAAGTACTATTTTAGCTGCATTACACACAGTTTGATATGTAGTATTTTTCCTATGCCTACTTCAAAATGTTTTTACTTTTCATTATTATTTATTCTTTGACCTATAGATTCTACAAAAGTGCATTTCTTAGTTTCCAAATACGTAAGGATTTTCTAGTTATCTTTTAAGATTGATATCTAGATTACACTGTCATGTAAGATCGTTACTTGCATTTTTCAAGCCTCATCAAAGAAAAGCATATTTCAAATTAGCATAAGAAATGTAGGGGAAAAAACCAGACTCCTCTTCAGCAAGTTGGGGGAAGGCACTGGAAAGAAGGTAAGAAAGCTCACATTAATAGTGTTTTTTCTGTCTTAATAATAAATGACAATGACAGCTGCTGTCAGCAGCAGGTACCAGTGCCAAGGAAAGTAAAGCCCAATCACACTTGCCTTCAAAAAGCACAGTGGACGCAACTTTGAGTGCCTTGAAAAAAATCTATTTGGGATAATCATTTACCCTATGAATAGCCTCAGAATATGTTTAACATGGAAGTTTTTATGTGAAAGAGGCAAGCTTCCTTTTTCTTCAAAATAAGATTCTATTTATATGAAAATGTGGCTCATGCAGAGATTTTATAGACACATTTCAGAGGCAGTGCAGCACAGTGGTTAAGAACACAAACTTGAAGGCCAAACAGGCTTAGGGCCGCCCCTGGCTCTGCCACTTGCAGGCAGTGTGGTCTTGCCCTCGGTTCCACTGCCAAGAGAGGGCTAATGGCAACGCTGCCTTCTTAGGGCTGCTGTGCACAGTGCCTGGCACACAGCAAATGCTCAGTGAAGGGGATGTTTGAGTAGAGTATCATTCAAGCGTCTTCGCAACGCAGCACACACCCATCCCCACTCGTGTCCTTGGCAGAGCAAAGGAAAGGCCAAGAAGATCACGGAACTGGGGCCTCAGGGAACACTCGGACCGCCCAAAGGGACCAGTGGCCTCCGCTGCTCTGGCTCTGCCCCATCCCCGGGGCCCCATGACCCTCGCAGGGACTGACTGCCACTCACGACACAGAGTTAGCCCTGCAGCGATGTTCCTGGGGCTTTCTGTGACCTACTCCCTTCTTCAGTGGCCCGGCCTGGCAGTCGCAGGTGGTGCCCGAGTGCCCCAGTCCACTGACCCTCAGTGCCCGACTTTACGCTCCCTCCCACCCTACCTCAGGACTAGATGATCCCTATCAGGTGCCTTTGCTAATGCTGGTCTCTCTTCTGGGGTGCCCCTCCCCTCATCTGATTTCCACTCAGTGAACTCTGCGTAATCCATCTCCGATGGCACCTGCTCCATGTGTCTACCCATCAGCTGGAGGTGGCCTCTCTCAACTGTGGCTTTTTATGGTAGTTACCCTTTCTGCCTTGAAATGTAGTCATTTCTCCCATTAGATGATACTCACCCTGAAGGACCATGCTAGATTCCTATTTCCATGGGGCCAGAGGGATCCATATAATTTGTGGGATGAAATAACAAATGTTACAATTCATTAATGGGTAGTGATTTAGAGTCATGATTTTTATGTCAGAGTCCTGGGTTCAAATCTTGACATTTCTACTTTTAAGCTGTGTGATCTTGGATAAACCACCTAGCCCCTCTGAGCTCCACTCAGTGAGTGTTTACAAGGCACTTAATGTGTCAGTCACTGTACTAGCCTCAAGTCAAACATGGTTCCTCCCACCAGGGAGCTCACAGTCTAGTGGGTGAGTCAGACACAGAACAAATGCACACAAAAGAGCATAATAGCAAATTATGGTAAGTTCTATTATGGAAAAGAACAAGCTATAAAAAAGAACAGTAAGCAACAGATATTTTTCAAGACCATCAAACCGGATATGGCCTGAGTAGTAGATTATGCCAAGGAATTATTTCTATTGCTGGAAATGATAAGATATAAAAGTTATGTTCTAAAGGTCCTTATGTATTCAAAAGAGATTCATGATCTACTATTTACAGGTAAAATGATATGAGGTCTTAGATTTGCTTTAAAATACCCAAGCCAAAAAGAATTGGCTGGGAAATTAAACGGCAGAAAATTTTTATGATTTTCGAAGCTGATGTACACGGTATTTACTGTGCTATCCTCTCTATGTATATGTTTGATAATTTCTATAATAAAAAGTTTCGAAAGAAAATAACAACTGTGGCAAAGGAGGGCCCAATTTCTACTGGGTAGTCAGAGACGACCTCTGACACTGGGCTGAGACCTGAAACCTGGGGAGGAGGGAGCTGAGGCAGGATGAATTGAGGAAATGCATTCCGGGCAGAGGGAACAGCATGTACAAAGGGCTGGAGGCAGGAAAGGATGCAGCACGTTCAAGAAACTGAAAGGAGGCAGTGTGGCCAGAGCAGAAGGACGCAGGAGTGAAGAGGTCACATTGTACATCTCCCACCACCCCCTCCTCAGCTCTCTGACTGCAGTGGGGCCAGAGGGCGTTCTGGGGGGAAAGGTTATCAGCTGTGCCCTGGGCTCAGGCCCCAGAACTCACTGCAGAAGGCTGCACAGGTACGCTGGTTCCGCTGGTTGCAGGTAGATTTGCAGGAGATGCAGCTGCGCAGCAGGGGGTCCCAGTACTGCTCTTCGGGGCAGAGTCCCATAGCCACCCCCGTCCGCAGGCCCTGTGGAGCTAAGAGACCAGGAGCATGAGGCGGCGGGCAGGTGCCGCAGCCCGGCCTCCTGTTCTTGACTGGAACCCAGCAGTCTCTGCTGCTCACATCCCACAGACATCCTTGTCTCAGCAGGCAGAGGGGAGCCAGACAAAGCTGGCTTCTGACCCCAGTTGTGCTCACTGGGCAATCTGGGGAAGCCACTTCTGTGAGCTTCAGTTTCCCCATCTGTGAAATAGTCATTCTGAGGGTCCCCCCTGCAATCAGCAGTGCCGCGTTCAGCCCTGCTCTATGCCCTCCTACCACAGGACCTTCGCACATGCTTTCCCTTTGCATAAAATGCTCTTCTGCCCCACTCCCCACCCCTCACTGGTTATTTCCTCCTCATCCTGGAGATCCGTGTTTAAACTTTAGTTCCTCAAGGTAACCTTTCTGACCCTTCCCCAGACTAGAGCACAGCCCTTGTTCTATACACTCACAACACCCTTTACTTGTCACCGTGGTCACTTTCCTTCTACACATGTGGCTGTTTGATAGTGTCCCCTGCACTCACTGTGTACATCATGTGGCAGGAACTCTGCCTAGTTCTGTTCATCGCCGGGTCCTCAGAACCTGCCAGTGCTTAGGACAGGGTAGGTGCTCATTAAATGAATGAATTTTTAAAAAGCAGACCTAGTCAGTGCCTCTCATACAGCAAGGACTCAATAAATGTCAATTTCCTTCCCTCTTCCTTTTTTACTGCGCTGTGAAACATGCACAAGGACGCGTGTGAAGTGCACAGATCCTAAGGATGCAGCCCGGAGAAATTTTACAACGTACACACCTGTGTCTTCACAGCCCGCGTGGAGATCTAGAACATTTCCTGCACTCCCTTGGGCCCCTCCCATCCAGTAGCTCTGTCAGAGGTAACTGCCGTCGGGACGTCTTGCTACGGCTAACACACCCGTCTCGGCCCTCTGCGTCTGGTCTGAGACCGCCCGCGCGCACGCTGGCTGCGCAGTCCGTTTTTGTAGTGTTGCGAGTCTTCCGCGGTGCGACGCATCACCTCCGCTACAATTTGGTCTGACTGCATGACATGTGCTTTCCCCAGCAAATTCTCCTTTTACTCATTTTGCAAGGCATTTCTTTATTCTTTAATGAAAGCAAAGTGAGAAGAGACTGTGGCCTGCTGTTTAATATGGCAGCTCAAACGCGTGGGCTTATCTTCCTTCCCTTCTGAAACTCTATATGCTGACAGTAAGCACATTCGTCCCCAAAGATACAGGGAATGGCAGAAGTTTCTACGGCAGGGAACAGGTGTCAGCAACATTTTGGAAGATGGCAGGACGGAAATGCCTGGATGCAGGTTAAGCTCCCTCCACTTTTATGCCCATGGGGCATTCGAGCCATCCTGAGCCACAGGACTCCAGCACGTGTCCAGAACGGAGCCACCAGGCGTCTCTGACAGCAGGGGACTGGCAGGAGGCGTGTCGCTATGGAAACTCATATAAAAAAGGGCCTGACCCCAAGCAGGTCCCCATTCCCAGGCAGGCGCAGACCCTCGCCCATCCGAACATAAGACTGGGGTCTCCTCAGGCAGAGCTTAGGGTAGCAGCGAGATCCTTCCTGGCAATAGGGTGACTGGGTGAGAATCTTCCTCCTGAAGTCAGTCTCCTCTCTCCCTACTCACCCCTGCCTCTGCCTAAGAAGTGCCGCAGCCAGGGTTTCTAGAAACCCCTCCCTCTCCACCCTGCGACTGGCAGGAAGTCAGAAGACTCTGCTCTGGGAAAATGAACCCAAAGGAAAAGACCTAGAGGCACTGACCAAGCCGGAGATTCTCTCCAGAAAATGGCCAAGTCCCTGCCTGATCACACAGTCCCTACAAAGTGTCTGCATCAACCACCCAGACTCATAGTCAGCTGTCGGTGCCTAAGTCTGAGCTGTGAACACACAGTCAAGGGCTACCTGGTCTGAAGCACTGCCTCTAGCAGGAAGAGAACGCAAACCAGGTACAAGCAACAGTTGATAACTTCAGAAATATAAGAGAGGATTTTGCATTCATAAAACATAACAGTGGGCCATTTAAAAAGACTATTCATAGAACAAATTAAAATTGTTAGAAATTAAAAATATAACAGCCAGAGTAAAAACATTGATAGAAGAGGTGGAGGATGTAATTGAAGAAATTTCCCAGAAAATAGGAGACAAAAGATACAAAATTTTGGAATCAGTTCAGGAGGTTCCAAGGTTGGAGAATGATTCAAAGGACACGAGCTTCCACACTGAAAGAGCCAACCATGTGTCCAGTGCAGCGAATTCCCACAAACCAGGGTGCATCATCATGACACTCAGGAGCATCAGAGATTGAGATGCGCCAGAGAGCGTCGGAGACGTTCTAAAATCCTTCTCCAGAACAAGCCGGTTATGCATAAAACGTTGCTAGTTAGGAAGCCGGGGGACATCCCAGCACAGTACTGGGATGTGAGGAGAGCGACAGCTGGGAAGACCGGGGAGGAGGAGGCTCCAGCAACCTGCCCCTCCTGCTAAACAACTATGGGGCTAGCAGCACCCAGTTGAAGTAACTATTTTGGAGCTCTGGAGTTGTCCAGGGGAGAGCTTCATGGTAAATTTCAGGAATTTGGGTGAATTTCAGCCTTTCGCTTGACAGTGGCTACCATTCCAAGGTCCTGAGCCCCACAGAGGCTGCAGTGGGGACAGCTGCCCAAGTTCCTGGTGCAGCTTCTGGAGCCGGGGCGGCCAAGAAGGACCTCGTCCTCCAAATATTGGGGTTGTGGGTTCTGGTTGCTGACCATGGCTGTTTATCACTGAGGAGCCGGCATGGAAGACAACAGCCATTGTTTCCACCCGAAACAGCAGGAGTGGCTTTTAGGGGATTTAAAGAGGCAGTGGACATCTTTGCCAGGTCACTGGCTGACTGCAGAGATAAAAGAACAGAAACTTTAGTGACCACACACAACAAGAAATATATACTGTGCAAAAATAAGAATAAAATTTGGAAAAAAATTAAAGTTTAAAAATAAAAGTTTGGAAAAGTCATAAAGAGATGGCTCCAGCCCTTAACCAGCAAGACTCGGCAACCCCTGAAGGGCAGTAAAATTCCATTTCCAGAGTTGCCCCAACATAATACTCAAAATGTCCAGTACTCAAAAAAAAATTACAAAATATACAAAGAAGCAGGAACTGTGGCACATTCATGGGAAATAAAGAATGTGACAGAAACCATTTCTAAACCTACACATTGGAATTATTAGTCAAAGATGTTAAACCAAGATTTGTCTTAAATATGTTTAGTGAACTAAAGGAAACCATAGACAAAGAACGAAAGGAAATCAGGGAAATAGTGTCTGAACAAAATGAGAATATGAATAAAGAGACGAAAGTTGTAAAAAAGGAACGAAAACTTGGAAGCAACAAAAATGCCCTGCAGGCCGGGTGCGGTGGCCCACGCCTGTAATTCCTGCATTTGCGGAGGCCGAGGTGAGGCAGGAGGATTGCTTGAGACCAGCCTGAGCAACTAGCAATACCCCATCTCTACAAACAAACAAACAGACAAACAAAATTAGCGGGCGTGGCAATGGTCACCTGTAGTCCCAGCTACTCGGGAGGCTGAAGCAGGAGGATCGCTTGAGCCCAGGAGTTTGAGGCTGCAGTGAGCTATGATGCCACTACACTCCAGCCTGGGTGACAGAGTGAGACACTGTCTCAGGAAAAAAAAAAAAGGGTAATTTGCTAGAGTGGCTCAGGGGCACACATTACACCTGATTACCTATTTATTATAAAGGATATTACAAAGGATACAGATGAAGAGATGCATAGGGCCAGATATGTGGGAAGGACCCTGAGCTTTCATGGCGTATTGGGCCTGCCACCCTCCAGGAA